ACAATTAGCACTAGTTATTATTATTATTATTATTTTTCTTCTCGGGAAAATTTTGTCCGCGAATGATCTTGTAAAGTACACATCCGATTAAGGGGAAACCTTTTTAGGGTAAGTAGGCATGTTATGTAGATTTGCGGAACGAAGGTCATTTTGCGCGCACGTGCTTGCAAGAGCGCGCACGTGCAACACGTGAAATGACCAATATACTTGAAATTGCCGTAACTTTTACATTTTTCGATGTAATGCTTTGATATTTAGAATATATAGACATATTATAAATGTAGATAAGATGACATTGTCAACATGCCATTTTGCGCGCACATGCTTGCAAGAGCGCGCACGTACAACACGTGAAATGACCAATATATTGGATATAGCAGTAACTTTTCTATTTTTGGATGAAATCTTTTGAAATTTATAATGTAAGGATATATTAGTAGCGTAGACAAGATGACATGGTCAAAATAGCAAGACCTCACGTGCATGCACGTGCGCTTCGCTCTGATTGGCTGAAACTAAAGTCTCTATGTCTTTCTTGTTTTTCGACGAAATCCTATGAAATTTTGAATATAGCCATGCATTAAGATATCCTACAACATGATATATAGCAATTATCATGAAAACACGTGCATGCACGTGTGCTGCAATCTGATTGGCTTAAACTTTAAAGAGCTATAACTCCCTTGGTTTTCAACCAAACAGGATGGAATTTGGAACATAGATAGATATAATGAACTTCTAAAAGAAGGTATGGTCACCATGCACATGCCTACACGTGCGTATACGTGCGCTGTAATCTGATTGGCTGAATTATAAAACAGCTATAACTCCCTTGGTTCTCAACCAAACGGGGTGGGATTTAGAACATAGATAGATGTAATGGACTTCTACAGGAAGATATAGTCACAATGCTCATGTATGCACGTGTGTGCACGTGAAATGAGTAAAATCAAAAATACACCTGAATGAGCGTATTTTTTTAATACTTTTGGATTAAATACTTTAATATTTAGTATATAAAAATATATAGATTGTGTAGACAAGATGATATGGTCATTACGCACATGCATTCACATGCGCACGCATGCAATGCTAAAATTTGAATGAACTTGGCGTTGTTTAAGTCTCAAATGCATAGATTTTGTCCTATTTAATGAAGCTTACAGGGAATATGGCACCAAAAGGGAGTTGGGGAGCGTTTGGGGAACATCTGTAACGGTCCCCGTTACAATTAGCACTAGTTATACTGCATATTTGATACCAATTAAATATTTAATTATATAACCTTTGAATGCATTGCAATACCTGTATTCTCTCAATCAACATATCTTTTTAATATAAATTACTGTATATTGGGAGGATATAGACCAACATTTGACTTATGAAGGCCAATACATCTGTATATCTCTAAATTATGAAGAGGTGACCATGGGTTATATGCAGGTCAATATAACAAATATTGACAACTCATCCTGGGTCTTGTCCAGGTCAATACATCAAAGTCATGAAATGGTTAAAGACCTATAAAATCTCCCATCCAATATTTTTGAAATGTGATCATACAAATGTAAATGCCTGGCATAAGGTTTCTCCCCTTTAAGTGAAAGTCTCTGGAACCCTTAATTTCTTTAACACAAACACTGAAGATTCTCCTTGGTGCATATCTTTTCATCATGATCTCCCTATCATCCTAGCATTATTGATATAGATCTCATAAGTCTAGAAGTGCAAAAAAATACCTAAGTGTGGGACTTAGAGGCATTCAATTGATATGGAAAACTACAATATATAGCCCTATCACCTTCAATCTTTAATACTGACAATAATGTACACTGTAATACAGTTAATTTCAATTGCCAAGTCATGGTGTACCATAGAAATATGTATGATTCTTCTGTCTAATATTTCTTCCATAAAAGATAGGTATGACAACGTATCTCTGTACAATACGTTAGATATGCATTTAATTATGTACTAGGTACAAATTTCGTGCTCAGTGGATATGCTTTTCTGTGAAGTCAAAATGAATACATATCTTTATACAGGTGACAATCCTAACAAAGGTATTCTATCTCTATTCATATACAATAGACAGAACAAGGATGTATTTTACTGACAATTAAGATATCAGAGGCTTTTGACAGCTGCTATAAACTTTTAATGATCTTCTTTTTTTTCCATAAGTCAAATATCTGGCAAGAAAAAATATGCAAGGGACCAAAGCTACGCTAGTAATCTTACTCCTACTCAAAGGGAGATCATAGTCCTCTTGTGACCTAATAAATAAGAAAATCTTAAAACATCTTCACAGCAAGATGCTTGAATTAATTATAACAATCTTTTTTTCTTCAAATATGAGGTCCATGGGCCAAAAATAATAATTAAAAATATGGTCCATTACCGCTACACCTTTTTACTTAATATCTTAAGTGAATAATCAAAGGGAAATAACTTCTCTCAAAGGAAGGTGAAAATTTCCTTTCAAGTTTACAGAGCTAGGTATAGGATTAATGGGATGCAGTTTTCCAGGTCACATATATAACATCACATATAACAGAGAAGACCAATTTACTGCTAAGACACATTTGACAGTGTATTTTAAGTCTTATTACTAGCCTTTAAGAGGAGACATCATCTTGAATCTGAAGTGTGACAAGTTAAATTAAAGTGTAACACAGATATAAAGATAGAGACAAAAGAAACAAGAAATGTTTGTAAAACACTAATGTCTCCTTCCTCCAATTAATTGGAATTTTTCTAAGTCAAAGGGGCATAACTCTGTCAAAAATGGCTTGATCCCAAAACAGAATTTAGCCTAGATATTCTTAAGATAAATCAATCTGTATTCCGAATTTCATTTCTGTATATGCAACCTCTGCGAAAAAAATGAACGGAAACTGCAAATTATCCTAATTTTATAAGTCCAAGGGGCATGACTTTGTCCAAAATTGTCTGATTGTACCCTGAACAGATCTTGACCTAGATATTTTTATGATAAATCTGTATACCAAATTTCATTTCAATATGTGCAACCTCTGCAAATAAAATGAATGTAAACTGATGGTGGACCAACAGAAAGCAGCAAAGCAATATACCCTCCATTCTTTGAAGGGGACCATATAATAAATGTTACATATGTACACAAGTAAATACGTGTATAAATGTAAAAAAAAAATATGAATCAGTTTTCCTCAACAACACTGCATTATGATTGAATTGTTTGAGAGCACAAAAATGAATAACATTGCCACATTTTCTTACAAAAGCCCTGTATTTTTATAAGGAGAGCCATTGAAATCTCCATGTCAAGCAGTAGCTTAAGAGCATTCTTCCTGCTCTATTACTCATGGTATCGTTCAAATATCTTATCATTGCTGAATCAGGGTCAAAAGTACATTAAATGTCACAGTTTATTAATGACAGTGAAATTTTCCTTACTGAAATCATGTTCACTTGAATACAAGGAAAATATGACAATGAATTTTTATGCACACACTTTGATACATGTAAGCAATCTTTGAATGGATATAAAGGTCTTAATTCTGAACTCTGTTTGACTGATATATTGAAAATTCATTTCACTTTCCAGATTCATCAATTCCTTATTTTCAGGAAGAATTGAAACCTAAACACAGCAATAGATTATATATATATGATTATTTATAGGTAAGATTGCTAAATCAAGAAGTACCAGTCTCCATTTTCCTGCCTGACACACTCTTGGGCTATTTATATGTATACATGTACTGGTATGTAATACACTACAAAGGGTCAAAATCTCTGAACAATACATGTATAGTAATGTACATTCCACTACTGTTTTGAAATATTAATTTAAAAAATTGTAACAACAAGACAGATCATAGTATTTTATGACAGTCAACTTTGGCAAAACCAATTGAATGATTAAGTTTAACAGGTGCCTCTCAAATAATTTAAAAATTTTTGAATTATAATTTGTATATACACTGTATACAACTGTCTTATAATCTGTTGAATATAGGTACACTCTGTATCGTCTGGTGATCTAGTATGATTTTTCACTAAGAATGTTGTTCCTGTGCACTATCATCTTTGCTAGCTAAGGGTGAAGATCCGCTAGCCAAGGATGAAGATCCGCTCTTCTCTTCTTTCTTGGCTAGCAAAGATGGTGCACTATACCCCTACAAGTAAGAGCCTAGCTTAATGTCCCTATGGACTCCTTATTTACTTCTGACGTGGCACCAAATCAAAAGTATCTCGCCGTGAACCTCTAGCATGCTGGAGTACTATGCACTTTAGTTTTGGAAGTCTTAAATTTGCACGCAGGGTCAAAATTTCTGACTAAAAGCAAGAAGTCTGTAATATATTTGGAATCCAATGCAGTGCAGAATCATAGAGAAAAATATGAAATGTATCTTTGGACCAGATTAAATGAGAAGTAAAACAACATAGGACATAGCACCATCTACCACATAAAAAAACAAAGCTAAGGAAATTCAGTTGAACTGAACATGATCTACAGGAATGTGAGGATGAACCCAGACCCCATCCCCAGTCTACCAATGAGATGGACGACCATCGCAGCCTAGGTAGAATGTAATACTGAAAAACACCTAAAAATAGCCTTCTGAAATAGTATAACTGTCAAATACAGGAAAGAAGGCAATGGAAGGGGATGTTATGGCAAACTTCGATCTCTTTTAAAAAAGATATATTGTTCTTTAAACAGCTTCTTGGAATTCTATGATACTTTGATCTAAGGAAATGTTCCACACTGTATGTGTTATAAATAGTTGTTTAATATGAATAAACTGATGTTCTATTATAATATTGTTCAATATGTTAATACATATTTGCCAGTGCATTGAACAGAGTACTTATTCTTTTTAGATAAAAAGAATAATTTAATCAGTTTAATCAGCTTGAACAGACTTTAAATTTATACATAGATATAAATAGTTTTGAACTCAAAAAAGCTGCATTTGTACGAGTATCCATACAATATAAACATAACTCACCAATCAGAGGCCAGCTGAATTCCTCGATCTCCTGTGGCCGCAATGGCTTTCTCTCTACAATAGAGTTTTTCTTAAAATATTTTTTTCATTATAATATATGATGGTCAAACCTATGTAATAAGAAATACATGCATTTTATCGATAAGTGAGCTGACTTTTCTATTTGATCATCAATGTGAATGCATGTAATATTACTACATTGTATTTCCTTTAAAATATATTTAAAACTCTTTTTGTTTTTATAATAAATGCTACAAAAAGTGCAAGTTAATTTCAAAACTTGTTAATCATGTTGATACTCATTAAAAAAAGCTAGAACTTAAGTGTATTTTTCTAATTATAGCAAAAATATGACTTGTTCACAGCAATATTTACTATAATTAGAAAGAACAATCTGTGTCCTGGGACATGCCCTCAATCAACAGGTTAGAAAGTCATTTTAACAATGGATCATACACCCTATCTATGGAATTTCATTTCTATAGTGAAGTTTACTGAATCCTAAACTTTACATGTATGTTCATTGTACATATTAAATGATCTGATATCATTACAATTCAATTCACTAAAAGTGCTTCTATAGCACCCCCTCCCGTACCTTGTGTAGTGTTTTAATAATCAGTATCGAAGTACATGTACATGTATAAATGTACTAGGAATGTAGAGTATTCATCTTCCCTGGAATTTTATTTATGATTCTTCTGTAGCTTTATGTTACATAACTCTTGCCCTTCACAATATAATGTAATTTTATATACTTTAGTAAATATATAAAAGTCTCAAGAAAAACAATAAGCCCCCCCTCTCTACTGAATTTGTAGAATTATTAAATGTATACATGTATGTGAAGGAAATTTACATGTATTATATTCATACAAAGATTTGATTGCTTATTCTTTATTATGTGTATAGAAGATTTTTTTATATGGAATATTTATCACACTGTAATGATGATTTATAACCTCATAAATTTTTCATTTCACATGCTCAATACTATCATCTAGTAAAAAAAAAAAGTATTTAAAAAAAAAAATTAAAAAAAATGTTACGTTGACCTCTCACATTTGAAGCGAGAGGCATAACCACCAGACCACGGAGTCGCTTCACATAGACAAAAGTATATGCCTGAAGTCACATACATGTATATATTCATGTTTTCATATGTTTTCTCAAAATTTTACACAATCCATGGTGTTTGATTTTTTATATACAGTTCTAATAGATGTAATAAGAATATAAAGTAGAACCTGTTTTATGCAATAACTCTCCTCATGCCCCTGTGCTAAAAATAGCGCCATGTAATACTATAAATACTAATAAAACAAACGGGGCGGGGCACTTTGAGAGGGGCGAGAGACGTCCTAGGGAGTTTTGGTATAAAATTACATTGCATAAGCTCAAAATCTTCTTGAAATATCGCCTGGAAATGAAAATTACATAGACAGAATGTATAAATTTACGACCTTGAACTTTGACCTTTTGACCTCAAAATCAATAGGGGTCTTCATTAGGCCACAGGGAGTTGTTATATAAAATTTCATTGCAATAGCTCAAATGGTTCTCGAGATATCGTGTGGAAACGAAAGTGTTTTTACAGACAGAATTTGCTTATTTATGACCTTGACCTTTGACATTTTGACCTCAAAATCAATAGGGGTCTTCTTTAGTCCATAGGGAGTTGCTATGCTAAATTTCATTGCAAAAGCTCAAAGGGTTCTCGAGATATCGTGTGGAAACGAAATTTCAGACAAACCCAAATTAATATTTTCAAAATAGCTTAATCCAGCTATAGGATTTCAGTTTTGTTTTTGTTTTTTTTTCTTTTAGGGTTATGCCTTAAATATACAGAAAACATCTATAGACAAAATTTGATCTGGGCCTACATGGCCTAGTGCAGCTAACAGGCTAAGGAGACAACATAGACTCATATCTAGAGAGAGCTCTCCACAGTGCATGTAATGATGTTTTCATAACTGTGTCTTTTTGTACATTGAGAAAATGCATTTAAGAAAAGTTTAAGCTAAAATAAATATATAAATCTACCTCTTCTGAATAACCATTTAAAGCTATAAACTAATTTATGCATGATCAGATAATACTTGAATAGCTAAAAAAGTGACAGTGCAGATAAGCACGATATTCGCGCACCTGTTGGTCGTGTTTCATAGCAAGAGGCATGCCATCTTTCAATTTTAATACTTACGCTCGGTTCCTGGGAAACCCCATTGACACCAGAGTGTCCAGGGCAGTCTGTCGCTTTGTTCTTTTGATGGAATCATCCCTATTACTTCGAGCAGGTAAACTTGCAGACGCCATATTTACAAACAGTAAAGCACTTCCGGGTGGTTTGGTATCAAAGAAAGACAACTCTCTGTCTAAATTTTTTATCAGGAATTTTATCTTCACTTCCTCATTCCATTAAAAAAAAGTTGAAATCTCGCTTCTCGTTCTCACAGAAAAAGAATACACTGAACAAGATATTTCTATGCTGATTATTCATGTTTCTATACTCTTGACCTTATTATATATTTACCAGGAACATGATATTCAAATGATTTCAGAAGAAAATCAAAATTTTCCCTAAATAATAAAAAGGAAATATACCAAATTAGTATACATTTTTTTTTCATTTTTAAATCAAAGTCGTCAAAAGGAAAAAAACTTTAGATATACAGTACAAAAAATGTATAAATAAAAGAAATTATTATATGTTTGAATATTTTTTATGCTCTCGTGATCAAAGAATGATCAATCGTAGGTATATACATGTATATACACTGTAGTTTTTGCCCTGTTCTTCATGGAGGTTGATCTGTCTGTTTGTCTGTCCGCATAAACTTTGACAACTTTGTCCATAATTTATGAGTGGGTTGAGCCATGGTTTTCATATTTCACAGGTGTATTTCTTGTGACAAGAACTTTCTATTGGTACCACAAAATTTGACCTCGTAACCTTGACCTTATTATTGCTAGGGCTTTCTTATATCACAGGTATATTATTTGTGACAAGACCTTTTATTTAACCCTGACCATAACTTTTGAACCGTGAGTACTAGCTTTCATATTTCACAGGTGTATTTCTTGTGAGAAGACCTTCCATTATAGGTAACAGCAATTTTGACCTTGACCTTGGAGTTTAACTTGCATTTGAGAAATGTCAACCCTCGTCATAAGCTGCCATACATGGCATCAGTGTTTCACAAACAAATCTTGCTTTTTATTAGCTGAAAAGTTATTGAAAATATTTCACATGCAACCAACTCCCAGTATACAGTATGGTGAACGTATCATTAAGCCATATAGGATCGAAGAACTCCCCCCTCATGTACACGTTTTTTATCAAAGTGAGAAAATGCCGCAGCAGCGGCTCTTCACTTGATAGGAAGAAGAAGAAGAAAAAAGGGATCTATTTCTATTCCCTTTTTCACCGTGCCATAGCGTTACTATGATGCAATTATTCCGTAACGTATGATGAAACGATTCCTTATGGAGTTTTTACATGGAAATTCGACCAAGGTAAGTTAATGTCTTATTTGTATGCCTTAAACGCAAAATAGCCCTAATTGTGTTAGCCGTTGCATTATAGGAATGACACAGGCATCTGTTGACATAACGCACAATGTGTTGATGCGCCGTTTTCTTAAACACTTTGCTCTTTCATAATAAAGAGGCTTAAAAGTTCGATTTATTCATAGAACTTTTTTTTCCAATCAAGTTACAAGATCAGCTACAAGTTTACCATGATGAAAATTCGTTGTTTTTCCGTTTCACTCAAGAATTATGATGAAAATATTTATTTAATCGCTTTAAACATGGGTTTTTAGAAGTAACGTATGATGCAACGATTCCCATCATCAGTAACGTGCGATGCAACTATTCTTTAACAATCGTATTATTAGACCAATATGTTGGATTTCTTTATGACCATAGGCTTCACTCAATGTCCAATCATTATCTAATAATGCACACTGGGGACTTTTTGCAGTGTTTCTGTTTGGGGTATCAACAAGTCGATTTTTGGATTTAAATGGGATAGAAAATTTTCTTCTTTTCAGGTTTGGGTAAGGGGATGAAATGGCTTTATTCTTGCTGTAATTTGTAGCCGGGCTTTGCTGAAAGCAGTCCTGGCTATAGGCATCATGATCGACTGTCTTACTATAAATAGCACAGTAAACAAAAAACCAAACAGCGCCAAAGCAGACGCTTCCGATAAACAAAATAGTTCCAATGCAAGATGATATTCAAACAAACAACTATTTTTAACATCCCAATCATTGGAAAAGTTAATGATCAATATTTTTGCTTGATAATTAAACTGAAAGAGAAATTAGATATTTGCTTTATTGGGATAATCGTGATATAATAATTTGTGCATATACGCTGCTGAATGCATATTGTAAGCGAATTATTTTCAATAGCGCGGGATTCTCGAAACGTTGAGAGTTTCGTTTCTTGTCGTTTTCGTCGATGTTATGTTAGTGGCTATATTCTGTTTTGATTTTTAGCAAATTAATAGTATAGTGAATTGGAATTTTTAGAATTAACATGCGTGGAGTCGCATGACAATGTACATATATCAGTGTTTCTACATGTAGTTGGCGATAAAATTAGTTTGTTTGAAACTAAAAGAATGTCTAGAAAATACACATGTGCAATATTTTAACTTATCCAAGACTGAATTTTTAAATTATGAGAAAAAATGCGCATTGAATAGAAAATATGCGAGAATACCTTGGAAATAAAATTTTAAAATCAAACATTGAGGTCTCGACTTTTAATTTTAATTACTGGTATATGAGATATTGATTTAAATCATAATCATACAAACTCTACCTGTTAAAAATCAATGGTCAAAAGGGAAAAAAATTAAATTTGTACTAATTTCGGATCAGACAATATACTCGAGCAATTAAAGCCCAGCTTTCAGTATTTTCAATACTTTGATTTCTTTTAGCCGTTCTATAGTCAAGTTTTGTTTGTTTCTTAACCATTTGGTATTCTGTAATAAAAAGAAAGCAATGAGTAATTTTATTACCCTACTTTGAAACGTGTCCTAGTAAAGAAATCCAACATATTGGTCTAATAATACGATTGTTAAAGAATAGTTGCATCACACGTTACTGATGATGGGAATCGTTGCATCATACGTTACTTCTAAAAACTCATGTTTAAAGCGATTAAATAAATATTTTCATCATAATTTTAGAGTGAAATGGAAAAACAACGAATTTTCATTATGGTAAACTTGTAGCTGATCTTGTAACTTGATTGGAAAAAAAGTTTATGAATAAATCGAACTTTTAAGTCTCTTTATTATGAAAGTGCAAAGTGTTTAAGAAAACGGCGCATCATTGGACATTGTCCGTTATGTCAACAGATGCCTGTGTCATTCCTATAATGCAACGGCTAACATGATGACCATACAATTAGGGCTATTTTGCGTTTAAGGCATAAATACGACATTAACTTACCTTGGTCAAATCTCCATGTAAAAATTCCATAAGGAATCGTTTCATCATACGTTACGGAATAATTGCATCATAGTAACGCTATGGCACGGTGTTTTTGTGAAAGTACATTTGGACTACTGTTAGAATTATTAAATGAATTAACAAAGAAAGAAAATGTTCATTGAAAGGCTGGTTGTCCTGAATGAAATGATTGCCATTGGTTTCAGCCGGTTATATGTCACATGAATGTGAATGCTGTGTTGATGACTGAAAACTTTTAACTTTTAGCCTTTTTGGGAAAAAAAAAAATCCGGCACTGTCGGCTTTCATATCACTGTCGACATTTTTCCCCCGTGGTCTCGTGTTAATCAAATTTGATACATGAAAACCACGAAGGTAATTATTTTACAAAAATGTGGAGGTGTCGGCCTAATTCACCGATGCTTCAAACATGTAAAAGAGTTGACTGATTTATTTAATAAACGCCGTGAGATCTCGATCTCACAAAAGAGAGGAACGCCAACTTTTGAGTGTCGGCCCTGTGTCAGGGGTCACAACTTTTGATCGGATAGTATGAAAACAAGGGAAGCTCATATTAACCCCCACAATACCTAAAATTTGATAGAGGTTTGATAAACTTAATCCATACATGCAGCATAAATTTCATATATCATAGTGAGAGTTATCTTTCTTATCAGAGAACCGATAAACCTTAAATTATTCTATCAAGAAATTGTTCTTTTATGGCAAGTGTTCATGAATTTAAACGAAATTTTTTTTTTTAAAGACAAGAAAACACCGATATTATATCCATTAAAATAAATTCTTAAACTTAAATTTCAGGAAGCTATAAATACCAGTATCTACTCTATTTCTCACCATCAGCATGATTTATCAAGACTGAATAAAAACATGCGCATATGCTCACTCAATCTGGCCATTGGTTTTGTTTAGAAATGTTGCATATAGCAACGTGTAATGACCATAAGCTTCAGAGAGAGTCCATTCTTAACAACTTTCTGTATGAATTAAAACCAATGGAAGATATTCCGATATCTGAATATTGAAAATATCCTAGCGACTACTCGCAAATTTCAGCATTTGGTACCACTGGTCAAATTCTGAAACCATAGATTATATTTACAAGAAAATTTGTTTCACATATGGTTTATAATATGGTTCAGTCTTTTAAAAAAAAATTCTACAATAATGTACTTTTTTCATACTTTCGTCACATGAAATGTTGGTTTCTGATATATCTAGCAGAGATACGAAAATTTACATCTTCTTGAGCACAAACATTGTGTCTTTCTGTACATAAGGTAATTTCCGTATTAACTTTCGTCGTTGAGGAGCAATTTTAGTCAAACGATAATATGGGGAAACAATCCTTGACATTTGAATGAAATAAGTACTAGTAGACAGATGGAATGTACATGTTATGTCCTTCATAAATTGTTCACACTCCTTTGTGAAAAGTGTCTCATTAAATGGGCTTCCAAAACTGGAATAAAACTTTATTTAAATTTTTAAATAGGAAAAGTGGCATAGCAGATATGGCCGGGACCCAAACATACCTAATACAAAGCTTTACCGGTACCTTGACTTCGGTTCATGTAAAACAGATTTTGGTAGAGTTCTATCATCTTTCAGTTGTCAGAAGTTTTGTTTTCTTTGTTGTAAAACTGTATGCTTATATATTTATTTTTTATTTGATACGATGATCAAAATTTGCCGACATTACTGTCCTAGTTTATGACAAGCCCAAGGACTCGAGAAACATCAATTGATAAAGTTTGACGATCCTAAACCAATTAATATATAAAATTTGCAAATTTAGCATCAAATTCCAAAAGTAGGTCACTGTGACCTACACATGTGGTTTCCAATTGAGACCCCAAGAAATATCAAATGATAAAGTTTGATGATTCTAAACCAATTAAACTGTAGTTTCTTAAAATTTTAATTACACCGTACATGTATAGCCATAAAATAGGTCAAGATGGCTTATTATTTGGTTGAAATACTTTGAGGCCTAAGGTTAAGGTGGCATATGTCCGTGCTTTGCTGTCCAAGAAATCTTGACGGTAGACACGTGACATCTTTTATCCAATGACAGCATCAATATACTTCGAGGTAAAATTAACGTACATGTTTGAGTGATCAGTGCAAGCATTAGAAAAACCAATTTTTTGCTCTCAAAATATTTAATTTCAGTCTCAAGCTAGACGTTCCATGCTCATTTATATAGGTATGTACGAGTATATATATCCGGATCCATTTTCTTACCACTCACATGTAAATATTATTATATGTAACATAGTAAAAATATAATGCAAAAACACAATGCTACGGTACACACAACGTACATTAACAATAGTTATAAGGTACTCAGTGCGTCAAGTACAAAATCAATCATTCTTCTTCATCCAACTTATTTAGCCCGAATTGTACATTGTCATAAATGCTCATCTTAGATGATGAAACCTGATCAAACGTCATGGGTCGTTTAGCAGACGGATGCACCAAAGGAGTAGGTTCGGGGATGTCGTCTGCTACAGAAGAGTTAGTTGTCCATCGAGGAGACTGCTGGTTTAACATTGGCGTAGAATCTCCCGGATTATCGTAATCTTCATCATAACGCGAGCTAAATCCGGGATAGACCTGTACAGCATAATTATCAGATCTTTGTTGCTGTCTTGAACTTAAAGTGCTATACGGAGTCGGCTGCGAGGAATTAACCGGAAATAGCTGTCGTGCGATTTGTTGTTTCTGCTGCTGCTGCTGCGTGTAGTAATGTTGCTGTGGTTGTTGCTGAAACTCATACGAGGGTTGCCCCGCATTGTATGTTGAGTATTTAAGATTACCTCCTTCAATTGCGGGAGGATATGTCAGCGAAGTTTGATATGGCACCGAGTTCCCCCTGTCTTGATAGGTCACTACTGTAGCACTGGGAGGGGGGTTCCCACCGAGAGTCACAAACTTTTTCGATGCTCCTGCTCCCCCTCCGATTCGACCATTACGGACACTGGATGGGGAAGGTGGCGGTTTTTTGTCAATGACGGCATACGTTGGTATAAAGTCTGAAGTTCTCTTGTTGTCTGAAATTGTGGTGTCATTCTGAAAAGTAAAAATTTGAGATGCTTAAAATTCATTTTTTCAGTAACGCAAACTGTTTTACTCGTTGGGTACAAAGATATTCTAGCTTTATAACTTGTTGAAGAACTTGCATTGTTGTTGTTGCGTACAATAATCAACGTCATTCATTTTTAAATGTTATATAAAATTGTTAAAATTCGAGTTAAGGCACGGAAATAAAGAGAAAAAGCCCATTTTTATTCCTATAGTGGGAAGGTTTAAGTGTAGCTGTAGTTATCTGATTCTCTTTAGGACTCAAAAGATACTTGTGTGTCTGTCTGTTCGTGCATGTCCAGCTTTCTCTTTCAAAAACTGTACCTGTGCTATATCTTCATAAGTCCTTCACTTTTTAAAATTAAGAATACTGTTAAAATTTCACGCTGAATAAGGTTACACCTCAAAGATCTGGTCCCAGAAAAAGCTATCTGGTCCCTATGTTTTAATTGTCAAAACGAAATGCTTTATGTTACGTGTATTACAATATCATGAACTATATAGATTAATTATGATATTGAAATAATGTCATGTATAATAGGTCAAGGACATTGTTCAATAAAAATGAAATCGCACGAGCAGTTGCTTTTCAAAACTTGGATGTACTAGTACTTAAACACTAGCAATAGATTTTAGTTAGACTTTTAAAGATTTGATGTGTATCATTTACAACCAAAACAAATTCAAAAACATATGCCTTTTTTTAAAGCTCGTGTCCTTAATGCTAATACTTTTATTAACAGTCGAGATAAAAATAGCCCGATAAAAGCAAGTGTTTGTGTTTTTTACATGGATGGGTTATCTACAAACTAACACAGCACAGCAGTTGGCGCTACCTTTTAAACTTTCCTAAGCATGCTTAAAAAGCAATTTGGTTTGCTTTGAAGAGACTTACAAAACTTACAGCTTGGGTTTGCGTGGCTTCGTCTTTGACGTACAGTACAAAACAGGCGTGCATACACAACAGCAGGCAGATCAAAATCAGGATCAGGCCAATACCGAAAAATATCGCCCCTCCTACCGTTAATCCCGGACTGAAAAAAAGACAGAGCCACCTTAAACATGTATTACATGTGAAATGGTCATTGTCATATCATGCAATTGTCATCATCATATAATACATTGAACCGAATTTTTTCCTTTGTACTTTACTCTCGGTTTCAATATTGCTCATAACAAATATTGGTAGTTGATCTAATTGTATTTTTAAAAAGTAGTATATACAGGTCGAACTTGATTAGAATCAATTACAAAATGTATTGGAAATCAGATTGTTAATCCGCACCTCTGTTAGCCATGACTGATTAAGGATCAAAGATTTTATTCTAATTATGCGGTCCTGATATAAATATTCTGAAATCTATGAAATTCCAACAGAAAAAAGTCTCTAAAAATAATCAATTTTCTCATTTCCTAGTGAGCGCAAAACATTTTTTGCAAAAATCCTCATACCACATCTAATCTTCGAATTATCGATAAAAAAAGAAATAATCTGCGCGCTATTTCATATTCCCTAATAAAATAAATGGGCAACTATAATATATCATATCTTAACATGATCAATAATTATGTTTTTCTTCGTAGGGAACGGAAATTACATTAATTGCATCTCAGTGATTAAATTTGATTTTTTTTAATGTCTTGTCTGAAGGTTCAAACATTTTATTGGAGAATCTGACAAATATCTCGTTTGATGAAATTTGAAAGTATCATCATCATATCGAATTTGGTGGGCGTATGTTGAATTAAAATTCAAGTGGTTTCGGTTTTGGTCAATCAATGTGTGTAAACACACAAAACACAAATACAAAACCCACCATATTTCGTGAGAAATTCAATAAAAACCGAGGTTTCTCGAGATTTATAAGTGTATCATTTGACCAAATAGACCAAATGTATAACAAAGATTCAAAGAATAAAACAGATGAGATTTCAAGCAGCATTAAGCTTATTTTGAAGTCAACATCCTGTATATGATACGATAAACAATTTTCCAGCAGATGCCAAATTCTTCATGGAATGAAGAGAATAGAACAAAAACTTAAATGATTCCTCCACGAACTCCATGCATAAATTGCTCACACGTGTGTTATAGTCTTTGAATTATCTGTGCTTAGTTCAGCAAACATTCTTTTTTCTGCTATTAGGATTTTATGTCGCCCTTCATGATCCTACTAATGCAAATGTCTCAAGATAAACTACCTATGTAGCTATGATATCATGAGCAACAATTTTTCTTCCAGAATTGTGAAATTCAATGCCCCTGGGTCCGGGGTATCGTAGGGGTGGGTGGATGGGTTAATTATTTTATACTGAAAATAAATTTATGCTTTGAAGTCTGCTCCTTGGTATTATTCAAATATTTATAATAAGCAAGGGTGCCTTTTTTCAAAACTGTGAAATGTGTGGAACCAGGGTCGGGGGTTCCTGTGAGGTTGGGCACGTAGAAACAAAGAATACACTTGCAATCGGATAAAGATGTCTAATATATTCTGTTTTCTTTTATTAACATTCTAAACAGCACCTTGATTTCATAAGTATCAGCAGTTATAGGAAAGAGTTGATAAATAAGATTATTATCCTTTGAGCTAAATAGATGTCTAGACCTATACATAGACTAGTGGTATATCTCATATCGGATCTATATTTTATTCACCGATAAAGATTTTACGAAATGTATAGGGAAAATATGCCGAATTAACAGGTGCGAGATATATAAGATTAATATAGTTCATTTTATGTTTCAAAAAATCATCAATAGATTAGAAACTTCAAGTTAAATCACGGAAATTCGTTTCATCTTCAACAAAACAACTACAGACCAAGACAGCTACAAAACTCGGTATTCATTGGTTGCGCAAACTCGGTGTAATCCGGGCATGCTTGGCTTCTCATTCTGTATAACGACACGACAAATAATAATGCATTACAACATCTGTATGTTGCATTGCTATATTTATTTGTGGAGAAATGTACCACAGGATCACTAGTGACTTGGTAACAAACAACACATGTTAATTGGCATGATAACAAATATTTTGGTGGCGAGACAAACTGCAGTGAGAAAGACGACGTGCAATCAGCTTGTTTAGTGAAGGACGACTTCTAGTGCGTCCGCTATTTTCGTAACGCTGTCTTCTAATAAGTCCGCGCATAGCTAAATTTTAAAATAGTGTTTACTTAAATCAACAAAATTGGATTCCTAAGCAAAGATTAACACAATTCTATATCCCGCATAGCGTAACAATCGAAGGATTCGTCTTATTTCTTATCTTTATGAAAGCATTTTGCCCCATAGAGCAAAGAAAGTCAATGAAACAATTATTTTACTTAAAACTTATTATACACAACAAGCGAGAAAATTACAAAACGCAATTAGTTATCCCAAGAAAAACTTCTAACCCCACAGAAAGCTTACACGAATTGCTAGTGATACAGAACATCTGGAAATAGATCGAGTAAATTGGCATGCAGTGCTCATCGAATGTTATCCGACGATAACTGTTAATGGAAAAGAGAATGTTGAAACGATAAAATTAATAAGAAGTATTATCGTATCGAATATCCGAAGATTCTCGTATAAGACCCATGGATTATCCTCTGATGCAGAAATCCTAGTTATAAAAAAATATCCTATATCTTGTGAAAGAAAAAATCTGCCTAATGGTATAACTGGTTTGGTATTTGTCTTAAAGGATGCACTGGCAAAACTTCACAGAATGCTAAGAATGGCCAGTTTATTGCGGAAATAAATTTTGCACGTTGTTTCGATAAGCTGGAAGACAAATCCCTAATTACTGAACTTTTGTGTTAGGGACCTTCTCGTAACTTCAGTCGTATCTGGAAAACATCATGAGAGAGAGAGAGAGAGAGAGAGAGAGAGAGAGAGAGAGAGAGAGAGAGAGAGAGAGTTTAAGACTGATTTTTCTTAATTTCCTCTTATTCAAGGTCAGAGATCATCTGACCTTTATTCCCATTAAAGTCTTGGCAGATGTGCAGATAGATTGACTACGAGTAATTGACATATTTATAATTTGGTTTCACCGTTCCGCCCAGATTTGCGCCTTGAATGTGGTTTACACTAGTAATTAAAGTAATTGCCGACTAATTTTGTACATCTGAGCGGACGAATAACCATAAACATGCATGTACTTCGTCCTTCTCCGCTGTGTACTTTGAAACTGTCTTCTGCAATTCAAATAGAGTCGTGGTGGACATTTTTTTTTCATTTTCATTATTAAATTAAGACACAGGTATGTGTATTTTGGAAAGCTGATGGGTGAAAATCATGATGATAGGGTACCGTATATAACTTTCATAAGGTAATAAATCATGACGATCCGAATTCCAATGATGCCGCTGCAGCGAAGTCGGAATCAATACATCTTAAACCTTTACAGAAAATGTTCAGTTATTGAAATAGCTTGTTTGTGATATCAATCAACTAATGGATTTCACAAGTATTAAAAAAAAAGATGAGTGTCCATTATATTACCTTCCAATAGCCAGCAGCACAATACCCACAAACACAAAGACAGAGGCTAGCCCCAGTACCCCCACGACAGCCCGAGGGGGCAGCAACCACTGATGAAAGTTCTTATAAATGCGAGTCCCCTCCATTTCTCAACGTCACATAGATCTTCATAGCTTTATTTAATGGTCTCCATATCACATTACACTTGGTCAGTACAAGGTGTATCACACAAAATGGTCTTTTGATGATTAGGTCATTACCGTGAATTAAGAAGCAATCCGTTGAAGTATTAATTGAAAAAAATTAAAATCTCCTATGATAAGGACGTCAGCCTCAATGTTTATATTGGTCAATACTAGTCAATGGGTCGATATCTTGTGTTTATCGCTTGTATTTACACTGGGCATCCACTTCTCATTGAAAGCATTCCACGGTGACCGAAACACAAAGGGCCTCCCTCTCTCTCTCTCTCTTGAATTCGTTAACGATATTCACTGATCCCCACAAGTCGCGAGCTCACAGCATCGCTCTATTCCGCTGAGAAATGCGTTTATTTTCCCGAGAAACTTGTTGGGGAAGACGATTCATACAGGGATTTTTTTTTCAAGACGATAAATATCTCCGGTTGTGTAATGATTCCATCATATGCTCATTATTTTCTCTCTCCACTATATCTTATCCTGCCAGCAACATATATATGTATAATCACATGTCTTATGTGCACTGCTGTCATTCGCCACCTTGGATCCACCCCCAGATGATTAGGGACAAACGGACGAGGAGTGAATAAAAGCTGCCGGATCCCTCCGTCTCTTTTATAGTTTTAACTAACATCATGAAAAACATACGATATTAATTTTATAAGAAACAGAGCGGCTGCGGTATTTTAGATTTTGATTGATTACGTCTGTGTTGTTTGCGTCCATTCAAAGAAATTTGATCAATTTGATAAGAAAACTATGTTTAAACTTCTCATGTCTAATTATGTCTTGAAGAAACTTATTTTGATAAGGTACTGTAAAATCACAAATCATTCGCTCCTCACAGTCTCAGAAACACATGCACTGTATAGATCGGTTATTGCATAAGTATTGAAAATGCTGAAAATGGAAATTTTTGATTAGTAGTTTTATTGTGTGTAGTATACAGTTACTGACTGAGTGAAATATAATTTTTATTCCGATGTTAATTGTTTCAAAATTATAAAAACAGCGCAAATGCCGCTGCAATGCAGTAATTTTGACACCACCGTCATGCGCGACGTCTAATATATATATATACATGTATACGAGTACAGTTTTTGTAGTATAAAATTGTAATACGATTGGAGAATGCTCCAAAAAGAAAAAAAGAAGGAATGTACGCTAATCCTCCATCTTTTAAAGATGAATTTTATGCAATAAATTTCCATTCGTAACAAAGTTCAGGTCTGTAACAATCCACCAGGCGCCTGGCAGCTGAACTCCATCCTATTATCATTTAATATAAGACAGAATAAAACATATGTACATGAACAATTTTACTGAGAATTTTTAATCATCAATTTTCATCTTACTCAATGATACTAATTGCAGATGATATGATACAAGTTAACTCTAAATTTCGACACATGTATGGGGCACTTCTTGAGACAGACCTCCTGTGCCAAACCATTATGTTTAGTAAGAGTCTTCGAGAACTCACGATGTGACAAACTTGCATCCACGTTCTTGATTTTTTTATTATTTTTTTTGCAGATTTATGTTCATTGTAAAGGAACCGAAGACTTCTTTTTGTTGATATAACCAAGTATGATAACCCATATGAGGATACAGGAAGTGTACATCCAAACCTTGGCATTTCATGTCAAATAGGTCGTTGGTGCATTGCATGACGCGAGTGTAACACTGCAAAAATCAGTTACCAAACATTTGTATTTTGGCACTAAAAATGGTCTGCGATATCTTTTTAAAAAGGGTGATGAAGGTTAGGAAGCATATGGCGACTGGCGCATTTTTCTATTCAGCAGATTTTTTAGCTTTTCCAAAACTGCTCTTGGCGTGCACGTGTACCATAGTGAAATCAGCTTTAAAAGTTTATTTTTAATATATGAAAAAGACTAGATATGTCGGTTTGACACGAATGCTCCCGCTAACATACAAAGTTTAAGATACTTGTTCATTGTTAAAATCCATGGGTGTGAAGATAAAAATGGGCGGAAATTGCACAGAACTGCTGTTTTTGCTTTTCTGGAATAAGTTGTCTATATTGAGTAATATTATAATAAACTTTAAGCTAAAACTTAAAATAGTGATCACATAGAAGAAAAGTAGTAAAAAATGTCTAAAACAATGTGATTACTTTTAAATTATGAAAGTTTAAGGGCCATTACCTTCGGAAAGGTGGGTCAATCAATACGAAACCCACTGTAAGTCATCAATTAAAAAAAAATCAAAGAGCATCATCTATAAGCACAACAACAAAAGGACTGAAGCACAACATCAACAACATCAAAAGAACTGAAGCACAACATCAACAACAAAAAGAGGACTGACGCACAACAAGAAGAAGACTGAAGCACTACAACATCAAAAGGATTAAAGCACAACAAAAACAACAGCAAGAATGAAGAAGAACTACAACAACAAGACTGAAGCACAACAACAAAAAGAGGACTGAAGCACAACAACAACAACAACATGACGGAAGAAGAAATCCAGAAAGCAGTAAATTTCAAAGTACAAAGGCCTTAACTTTTGTAGAAATTAGTCATCAACCTGAAACTCATAAAACAGTGAAACTTTTTATGTATTTAAAACTAACAATATTTGTAAATATATATGTCAATCGTTCGAAATTCGAACTTGATCTGTAAGTCTTCAAAATCAAATAAATAACCAACACCAAGCCTATCATACTCTATCATAACAAAGAAGTTGAGACAACAAACTATGACGGAATGACAGAGTAACACTACATGCCCCTTCATTTCATGGCGGGAGCATTAATGGAATATATAATTGACTGGGACAAAGTATTGCTTATTGTGCGTAAATATATAAAGTTATTCTAAGGCATCTTCCAAAATGATCAGGAAAAAGAGATCGAGAAAACGAGCTAACCGCAATGTAACGAAACTTCACACCAAGATCAAACAGAAGCTCAAGATTGGCATACACGCTTGGTAAATTTAAGGAATTCTCACCAATAAGCATTTGTTTTTTGAAATCAGTTGTATAAAGGAATTCTTTAAAGTTCTAAACCAAAAATTGCAACTATACGGAACATTAAGAAATACAATTTTTGTAGATTAAAATTGATGGGAAAAAAATTGGTTGAAATTCAGACTATACAGAAAGAAATAAGGTCAAGGTCAATAGAAGCGCAAATGACATTAAAGTCATCAAGATTGATTTGTTATTAACTTTAACGAAACGTTTTTTTGTTTTTTTTTGAACTGAGCAATTATGATAATACATTTTTGTAACCACCCTCCCAATGAGGAGGGATATGGGAAAGAATCGCCCAGTCGTTATAACTTTGCAAGGGGTCAATCCTCATCATACTGTGGCCATAATGAAGTTTCTACTTGTAGCTTGACTTTTTTTCCGAGATTCAATTAAAGAACCCCCCTGATAGTCTTTTGTTTTGGGGTATGTGTTCAGAATTAAATGTACATGTAATTTGAAACAATTCAAACCAAGAACAAACCTTTTGAAAAGGAAACTACATGTACCCAGCTTGAACTTTGTAGGATTTCAGATTTTAATTTTTAAAACGATCCTTGTCAATAAATTTGGTTTTAGTTGTTGAAGATCGGCTGTTTCAAAGATTCAATAAGAAACCAAACTGCGTATGTGCAACCTTTTTCCAAACATATTTATTGTCAAGCTTATCTGACATAGCCATGTAGATTTGCAGATTCCTTGCTGCGTTATACTTGCAACCCACACAAACTATGCATTGAAAAACCCAACAAAAACCAATAGTGTATGCATTATAAAATTGTTATTTCATGACTCTGAGTGCATATCTTATCAAAACATCTAGAAGTACAACACGTAAAACCATAATATAGGGATTTATTCTTTATGACTTTTGAATAACTTTTATAATTAGGAATAAAGAATTTCGATTTTTTTTCTGATAAAAAATGCTATTTTTATCAATAAATTTATCGCAGCAGGAACGATTTACATAAGATTAGAACAGACTCAGCTCTGATTGAACTAGAAATGAACCGCCCTTTCGGCATCCTCGCAATGCCGACGGTTCTGAGTCAACACGTTGCCGTAGGACCACGGAGTGTTGACTCAGTACCCCTGACATTGCATGAATCCTTGGGGGGGGGGGGAAGGTCCCCTATAAGATTTCCAGAAACAAATCTTGGGTAGAAGTTGACTAGAAATATGCCCGAACACAAATGCGCTAGCAGCTTAGGGCTTCTAAGTATCGCAAAATAAAATTCTGTACTAGTAGATATGACATTTGAGGAAAATATCTTGATGTTTTCTTAAAACAAAACATAGTGACCTAAAAGCTCGTTGGGAAGGTCAGGTGCAAAAAAAAAACCCACACTTAATCATCATCAAATTATTTTAGAAAATAGATTCATTAAAATATCTTGCATAGATTCTTTGAAATTGGGTCAAATACAGATTTTTTTTAAAGTGAGGTCAAGGTCAAAGGGAATGTTTAGGTCAAAAACTGTAGATGCATTTCAAAAGACTGAACCAAAATATGTAAGCTTATGAAAATTTATAAAAATGTCTTTTATTGTTTATCTCTTAGCTAAACTCAATTTCAAAAAAAGACCATGGTCAAAAGAAAGTAAAGGTCAAAATATTGATTCAATTGAATATCTCTCATCAATATTCATATCATTTCAAAAAAAAGTTTCTTGGAAACTGATAAGAAAAGTGAGGTCAATGACAAATTAATTTAATTTGAATAGCTTTCACAAATAAGTATCAGCATACTAGTATATGGTTTGATTAAAACATCTTCATATTCTTTAAATCTTGGTTAAACACAAAGTTAAAAATGGTTAAGTCAAGGTTAAAGGAAAGGTCACCAGCTCTGCACATTGTGTCATACACTGTAAACTACCATTTTATCTTCACTGCCACAGCTATTTAAGCTCCCAATGGGAAACCAATATTGGATTGAATGTGCCATAAACTGGTCACAAATCCAGACAGCATCTTCACTGAGGGAACCAGCTAGAAATGAACTACACATCAACATACACAAAAACTGAAGCTATTGCTACATCACAAAATCAAAGCTTAGAGGTCACACTTTGATAAACATTAACTAGGAGATCCCATCATAATAAAATTTATAAACACAATTAGAAAGAAATGACACCCCTCTCAGATATAATAAATACAATGTGAATCCATTATGAGGCACTGTCCTTACTAGGTATATGAACACATAAAACCAATGATACAATCTTTATATCAAGAAACAACTAAGTACATATCATGGCAAGATATATTTATTACTAAAACAATTAAAAACATACAATATCTTTGTATCAAGACAATATTTTTCACAATAATAAAATGTGTATATTTCAATATTAAATGACATTCAATATCAGTTGTAACTTTGTTCATTTTGGTTTCTTTACTCTCATGCTATTCAAAACATGCCTTTTTTTACCTTCCCTTTCCCCCAAAAATTCAAATTTAACATTTCTACCAGATCTAAGCCTTTTTATAACATTCTATTATTAAGATACATATAAAGTGAAGGACATTTCCTTATGAACAAACATCAATAAAAATGATATA